AAACCTAGGGATGGCCCAACTTTTGACATGGTTTTGACCTAGACACATATTTTGAACTCAAGCTTGAGCAGGACCTGGCCTGGTTTTAGAGCTACTCTAGGGCATAGTCTTGGACACTACCTAGACACAACTTGACTAGGGGGCACAAGCACACTCTTGGACCTAGATTAGGCATAGCTTGGCACAGTACAATTGCAAACTTGTTTAGGGTACACTAGACAAGAACATGAGCCTTCACAGAACACATTTTAACTTGGCCATAGGCACTACCAGTGGTGGGAGATATTCCAAACTCAGTACAGACACAACTTTGTTTAAGATATGGTCTTGAACTCGAGACAATTGGGGCACTATCTCAAACTTGTGCTTGCCAAAACTCAGATTAGGCCTTTGACTTTTTCTAAGAGATCCACCATAGGTTGGGTTCAGAGTGATGCGATGGATGACTAACCGAAATGGTTGGGAGAGAATTTTTACTTTGGTAATTATTGGAAGCTAACCCTATCGAGCAAGAAAGAAGTGGCTCTCTTTGCAACTCTAGGCCCTCTTATGGTCCTCCATTAGGATAGAGTGGGACAGTGAAGGTCTGCTCCACAATAGGAAAATTAAAACTTTTTTTTTTCATAAAAATTAATTATTAGTTTGTGCGAGAGACTGAACATTAAACATCAAACAAAATCTTTGTTTGATCCCATATTCTTATACTAACTCAGGCTGTTCTGAACTAGTTGTTCAGTGCTACTTCCAAACATTAGTCGTCACGTTTAGTTAGCAGAGAGCATACTGGGTTTTGTTCACTCTGACAGCATCGATAACAACTCTTAACCTTCTTGCCTTTGCTCATTGCTTCCATGTGCTGGATGTGGGATGAGTATTGAATCATAAGCAGTTTCTTCTAATGCCATATGATAGTAACTTATCAGCTGATGACTATGAAGGATACATCCTGTATTTCTTTCCTGTTCTCATCTGGTCCTGGAGAGCTGAAGGTCCATTTATTTGGTTAAATGCTGCAAACCTGATAATTACATTGTGCTCTACTGAATTGACCATTATTATGTTGCTCTTGTATTGGTGTATTGATTAATCGTACTTACTTTGGACAAGATATTGTAGCTTTTCAATCTTCCTCCATACTTATCTGGCTGTACTCTTCTTTACTATTAAATTGCTATTTTTGCCTGACTTTGTTGACTTTAATTTATACCATAAATTTCTGGACTTGCAGTGTTAGTTAGGAAAGTTATATTACTGAAATACAGTGCGTAAATAGAGGTCCAAGTACTTACCAGTTGGATTTGCGGTGCTTGCTATTCATTGCCTACACTTAGCAGATATGCCTAGTCATTGATGTAGTGGATGAATCATTTAGTTACTGTTAACTACTTTTCACACTCTATGACACTGAGTTGCAAAATGATTCAGGGCTTTCATTTTACATCCTTAGTTTCCACATGTAAGCCATAATGCTTGGCTATCATAAAATCCCAAGAAGAACTCAGTGATTCTGCTGTGAAAACTTTTTTATTCAAGAGCATGGGGTATTGTATCACATTCATAGGGTTACAGTATTTCATTGAATTATAAGTGCTTGAATTATTTTTTTTTGGCAGATTTAGGAGGATGTGGGCGTTTCTAGCCAAGATTCATCAGAAGCAACTCCAAGCAATTGCAGGGATCAAAGTCTGTGTGCGCATAGCAGGAGCTGACATTCCACATAGTTCAGGAATAAAGGCTATTCAGAGTCTGGAAAAAGAGATTTTAAACTGGGTTACATGCTTTAATAATTATATGAACTTCCAGAAAACCTTTGTGAAAAATTTGAATGAGTGGCTTTTCAGATGCATCCTCCAAGAACCAGAAGAAACCAGCGACGGAACTGCTCCTTTCTCTCCAAGCAGAATGGGTGCTCCACACATTTTCACCGTTTGCAATGATTGGTATCATGCTATTGGAAGAGTTTCAGAAAGGGGAGTATCTGAAGCAATGCAGAATTTCGCTTTGAGGCTGCACCACTTGCAGGAAATGCAAGCTCAAGAAATGCACCAAAGACACAAATCAGAGTCACTTTCCAAGGATTTTGCAAAGTATATGAAAAACCTTCTTGAGAATGGTTTGACGCATCAACAACAGGATATGTTGTTAAACAACAATGTCGATGTCTCAGGATTTGCTATTGAATCTGGAGCTCTCCTTGCAGATGAAGTCAGCGAAGAGACGATTTCTATGATAAAGAGATTGGATGAACAGAAAGCAAGGCATGAAGAAGCTGTTAAACAAGTCAATGATGCTGCTTCAGGTTGCCTACAATGGTGCGTAGCCCCCATTTTTGAGGCCTTAGAAAGCTTTTGTCTTCAGAACTTGAATGCATATGAGCAGATTAGAATTCAAAACAAGGATCAAAGCATATAGGAAACTGAAAAGATTTTATTTTATTTTTCCTGCAGTTTTGAATGTATAAGTTAAGTGTTTTGCTGAAGCATTTTCAGATAGAAGATTAAGAAAATATAGGAGGATGATTAAAAAAATCCTTTGAAACATGCCATAGCTCTTGAGATAATGTGAGAAAATCATGGATTTATTTGGGTATATTCTTAATTTTATTTAGTCATTGCTTCCCAATTCTTTGATACTTTGCTTTCATGTAACACCCAAATTTTTTTTTTTTGTATTATTTTTATTTTTGTATTTGAATTTTAGTTTAATTTTTTATATATTTAATTTATAAGATTTTAATTTAATTTAATTTTATTTTATTTTATTTAATAAAAATAAAAATAATAATAATGATAAAATATGGTAAAATTATTTTTTGAATTTAATTGAAATTGATTTTGGGAAAAAAAAGGTGAAAATTTGAATTCTGTGGGTGTTTTTGAAAGGAAAATCGAAAATCGGGGGTCAAAACGCAATTTAAAAAAGTTGTACCACGTCAGCAGCCACGTCAGCAGTCCCGGCCAACCAGGACATGCCGCGTGGTAAGGAAATGCTGACACGAGACGGACCACAAGGGCGATCCGCGTGCGCGCAATCGGACGGCCAAGATCCGTTCTCGCGCGCACGAACGGCCCAGATCAAATGTGCGCACGGATGGCCCAGATTTCATGCGTACGGACGGCCCAGATTCAATCAGGCACGGACTGCCCAAATCGCATCGCGATGGACGACCCAGATTTAATCCCAAATAAATCGCGATCGGACGATACAGATTTAATCTTGATGGACGGTTGAGATTAAAAGGCAAAGGGTATAAATAACCCCACCCATACCCGATCACAAAATCCTAGCTGCCAGTGCCTCGTCGGAGAAGAAGAATCAGACGCTGGAGGAGCCGGCCGCCGCCACCCGCCGCCGCAACAGAGAATTTTATGACCGCCAATCGAGGTAAATTTTCTCTCCCTGGCTCGTTTTTCGATGCTAAATCTGTCTATGGCAAAACTGGAGCCAAACCACCGGCCAATGGGCCGGAAAACCCCACCGAAGTTCAGCGCTGCCGCTGCGGCTTCCCTCTATTTTTGCCTCCGATGAGGCCCTTCTCGGTCTCCGTTCGATACAATTTTTATACCACTGTGATCACCGTTCTTTTTTCTACAGGTTGACCGGAGCAAAACATCAAAACGCGACTCACGCCGGAGAAGCCGTCGCACCCAAGAGTACCGCCGCCGGTAAGTCTCGATTTTTCGTGATTTTTTAGCCCGCCGAGAGCCCTAGGGTTGTTTTATCGCGGGGACAATGCAAGTTTGGCCGAATTCGGCCGAAAATGGCTAACCCGATGTGGATTGCCGCCGCAGGCGGCGGCGCCATCGCCGGAGCACGGCGGAGCCGCCGTGCCGGAATTCTGATATTGGCCGAAAGGGGCCCTAGGTCTGATTTGGGATTTTTTGGGGCACGTGCAGGTACCGGTAGTATATTTTAGTTTTTCGGAAAAAAAAAAAAAAATTCAGGGAATTTAGGGACAGCCTGTAGGAGCACTGTAGAGCCGATTTCAGACCCCGAAACGAGTAAGGACCCCTCACCCTATTTCTTATCACGGTATTAAAGCTTAATAAATAATTAAACGATATTTTGTGACTTTATAAATGTATAATTGATTAAAGTTGCCAATGGAACCCGAGTCTGATACATTGTTGGTCAGTTGTTGTTTAATCTATTTTTCAGTATTAAATGCAGTATGATGTTTGATGTAATTATTTTATGATCTCATGTGCATGAATCATTATTTCTTTTATTATGGTTTGTATTATGGTGAACCCGATACTGTGTTGTCTTATTTGGTGTCAATTACTAGTTTACATATTTGTGTATGATTGGATGATTGAGACCAAGGAAAAGGGCAAAAAGGTTATGTGAATTGATAAATGGATAATGTGGACAGCCTGACTAGATATCTTGGGAGATGGTGGACGGACCGGGTCCGTAGGGAATCTTACCGGGAACGTGGTCTCTTATACCGGACGGGGTATGGAGACCTTATGTGTTTCGGCGCCCATACTGGACGGGGTACGGGGACGACCCGTTTTACCCTCATACCGGACGGGGTATTGAGACTTATAGTTTTGGCGCCCATACCGGATGGGGTATGAGAACGGCCTTGGAATCAGGTTATTAATGTTAATGGTTCACGTGTAGCGGGGACCCCCTATGGATCCGCATGGATACTAGTAGACTGGTAAAAGATGAAATTTATTGTCTGATTATTGAAGTGCAAAAGTAGGACATGTGTTTTGTTATAAAATGTATATGATTTTATGATTATTATCATGTTATTGTTTTCATAAATTATTTTCATGAATCTCACCGAGGTAAGTGGACAGTAAAGATTTTTATATTAATAAATGAGTTTGTTATAAATTATGCTCTATTAGTCGTTTTTATTTTCTACCGACCTTTACTTCTGTAGCAATGAGATAGTGTGATGTCTTTACTGGGTTAGTGTAGCTCATTCCTTACTTAACCATTTCAGATCAGGAAGACGTGGTTCCCGAGCCCGTTCCGCAGGAAGACGGCGAGTTAGATGCCTAAAGACTTTATAGTTTTATTTATAGTTTTCATTTCGAGTATCTCTTTTAATTAGTTTATTCTTTCATGTTTTGAGTACGTTTTTTGTTATTGTGTAAGGGATGTTAATCAAAATTTTTATTACGCTTCCGCATTTAAGATTTTTAATACATATATCTTCATTTAAATTCCGAGGCCGTTACATTTCAGGTATCTATACTTTTAATGTTTGTTTTATCTTTTTTTAATAAAAAATAAGTTCAACTTATTTATAAAATTTAAATAAAAATTTAAAATTTAATTAAATATAAAATTATAATTAATATTAAATTTTTAAATAATAAATATGTAATCTTAATTAGTATTAAATTTTTAAATAATATATAATTTTTAATTAATATTAAATTTTTATATTCATATTAGTATAATATTTATAATTAAATTTATATTTTTAATTAAATTAAAAAATTAAATAAAAATTATAATTTCAGTTATGTTTGTTATTAATAAAGACAAATATAATATTATTTTAAACTACGAGATTGAAGCTTTCTCTAACGAGATTCAAGATAACAACTCTTTTTAATGAACTGTATATATTTTTACAGAATAAGTCATTCAAGGAATAGTAATAAAGAAAAAACGCAGATTTTAGAAGTAGAAATTTCAGAAAATCATCATGTGACAAGATTCAAGTATTGAAAATAAAACAACTTTCCTTACAAACACCTCTATGCCATACTAGGCAACCATCTAATTTAATCTAACATCTAAAGTATAAGTTATCTAATTTATAAAATTTAAGAATCTAAGGAAATTAAAAATTACTAAAATTGAGACCAAATTTTAAAACGTCCTTCATTTATATAACAAATTTTAACTGAGAAAAAGGCTTCATGTAAAGCTTCATTGACTAACAAGGGACTATGATACAAAATGGATAGTTTTAGATTATTTAAAGAGATTAAAAATTATATTAATCTTAAATATTAAAACTATTATATTTCTTATGTGTAACAGTCTCAGAATTTCAAATAAAATAAATTATAAATTAAATGCGGAAGTGAAATAATTGATTAGAGTTTACATTTCTTATACAATAATTTAAAGTAGCAAATAGTACTAAGAGATTTACCATTTTGAAGGAAATACAAAAAATTAAGGAAATAAATAGAAAATAAATAAAACTATTATCCTACTCGCAACCTTGTTGTGGATCGGGTTCTGAATCCTAGTTCTCTTGATCTGAAATGGTTAAATAAGGAATGAACTACATTAGTCTATTAAGAATATCACGTTACTCACTGATATAGAAATGAAAGTTGGTAGAAAAATCAAAATAACTAATGAAGCTCTTAATTAAACAAATCCATTTATCATAAACAAAATCTTTTACCATCTACTTACCGTAGTGAGATTTATAAAATAACTTATAAAGATAATAGCATAACTCAGATCATGATTTCATATGTAATCGATTTGAACAACAATTCTATCATTTATCAGCCTACTAGTATTCATGAGGGTTTATAGGAATGTCCCCACAACACATGAACCTTTTTCTTTAACATTTCAAACTAGCGAACTGTCCCCATACCCCGTCCGGTATGAGCACCAAATCACTAAACCTCAATACCCCGTCTGCTATGAGGGTGAAACGGGTCGTCCCTATACCCCGTCCGATATGAGTGTCAAATTACCAAATCTCGATACCCCGTCCAATATAAGGCAACGTTCACGGTAAGGTTCTCTATGCACTCGGTTCGTCCACCATCTCTCAGCATATCCAGTAAGACGGTCGTTTTATCTATTTATTTAATTACACAATTTTTCATTTTTCTTTAATCTTCATTTTTCTTAATTCAACCGTAAACTCATAAAACAAACAACACATGCATTCAAAGTTATACAATCGATCAATTAGATACTATCATGCATGCATTCAAGTCGTAAAAACAATCAACAGAAATAACAGTAGATAATTTTCGGTTCAGACTTCATTAGTAACCCGTAATTAATTATGGATATTTTCTAAATTGTACAAAATACCGTATTATTGTAAATTTGACTTCAATTTTATAACAAATAATAGGGTGAGAGATTCTTATACAATTCGATATCCGAAAAACGAAACTTATTGATTGAGCTTACCGGCGGTCCCTGAATTTTCTAAATATTTTTTTGAGGATTAAAATGCACTATAAATATTTATAAATATCCCAAAAAATTCAAAAATTGTGTCAGGACCCCTTTTCGGCTAATTTCGGAATTTCGGCAACGGCGTTGCAGCTCACAACGGCGATCTGCCTCGGGTTGGCTATTTTCGGCCGATTTTGCATCAATCTTTGCGAGAAAACACGTTAAGGGGTCTCGGTTGGCCCAAAAAAAAAAGAAAAAATTGAAACTCATCGGCAGCAAGGCTCTCCGGTGCGGCGGCTTCGCCGGCTCACTTTTGCGATTGAGTGTTTTGCTTCGATCAACCTGTAGAGAAGGAAACGGTGATTACAACGGTGAAAAAATTTCACATAACAGGAATCGGGAAGGGTCTCATCGGAGGCAGTTCTTGCAATTTTCTGCGGCAACGCTGCCGGACTTTACTCGCAGTTTTCAGCTAATCTGCCAGTCCTTTTGCTCCGATTTGGCCATGGGGGTGTTTAAAATTGAATTCTAAGCAAAGGAAAATTTTTTTACCTCTTTTGGCGGTCGAAAGTGGCTCTGGCGCGGCGATAGGTGGCGGCAGCTCTCCTTCCTAGCGGTTGGGTTTTCTTCTCCGGCGAGGGTGTCTAGCGACTAGGGTTAAGGTTTGGTATAAAGATGGTTATTTATATACGTCTCCTTTTAATCTGGACCGTCCATCGCGTTTGATCTGAACTATCCGATCGCGATTAAATAGGGAGTAAATCTGAACCGTTCATCGAGATCTGATCTAGACCGTCCAATTGCGTTTAAATAGGAAATGGATCTGAACCGTTGATCGCGTTTAAATCTGACTGCTCGATTATTTTTTAGGAAGGAACGTATCCGGACCGTCCGTACACGCGAGAGTGAAGCTAGGTCGTCCGATTGCAGGCACACGGATCGCCCGCGTGGCCTTCCGCCTAGCATTGCATCAGTGTCCATTGCCACGCGGCACATTTTGGTTCGTCGGGGCTACTGACTGGACATCCTACGTGATATAATTTTCTTAAATTGTGTTTTAACCTCCAGTTTTCGAATTTTCTTTTAAAAATACCCTCAAAACTTAAAATTTAACCTTTTTTTTTCAAAATTATTTTTAATTTCATAGTTCATCAATTTTTTTTATTTTTACACTAAATTAAAATTAAAAAATTATACTTATAAATTAATTTAAATTATATTAAAATTAATTTGAATATTATATTATGAGTTTTTGATATTATAATTTTATCAATTTAAAATTTTATTCTCTTTAAGTAATTAATTTTCATATTTTCATGCGATTTAGTATGTTTTACACTAAACCTTTTTAAGAAAGATTACTTAGTAAATATTATAAGAGAAGGATATCGTTGAGTGTGAAAGATAAGGAACAGGTAAACAACAAGCTTCCTGAGTAACATAAATTCATACATGGGAATTCTCCAGCTTTAGCTATATCTATTCCAAAAAAAAGATCAAAAACACACACATATATATATATATATTATATTATATATATTATCTGGAGAAAATAATTCATAGTATTCATTTTGCATCACAATCGTAGAACAAATATAGATCACAAGTTTGCCAAATATAGACTTAAACTAAAACAGATTTATATGGATGTAAAGACTATGCATACCCAGGTTTGGGATAACCATCAGTTTCCATGCATAATGGCTTTTTCATCTTCTCCCAAAATCAGTCATGTTAAGTTCATAAACAATTGAATTCATTGCAATATGAACCAAAACCTGCATACATGTCAAGTGGGTAAAATGTTTTTGAAAAGAAACTCAACAAAAAACTCTTAATAAGCTAAGATAACCAGCCCTTACCCATATGTTGACTAACATATATTCTAAATATTTCTGTATGTTATTTACTTTTAAGTCTTCTTACAAGCTGTGAATTTGAGAAGTTGGAAACAAGTAATTTCTGTATCTTGTCTATGATCATGGTATTCAAAGAAATTCCTAGGAAAAATTAACTCTGCAAAAGACCCAGATAGAATTACATGCTACAATTCATCATAGCTGACAAAGAGAATCTATCTGGGAATTATCTAAATATAATATTAAAAGGTTTTTGATTAAGCATTCAAGACTTGCCTACCTAAACAGATCCTACCATATCTGAAGAAGAACAAACAAACAACTTTTTGTAAGCAAGAATTTTCAGATTCATTAATGTGGCGAGTTGGTCCTCTCAGGTTCATGATGATGCCTAGCATCTCTTGCCTTTCCCCAATCATGAAGCCTCAGGTGTAACTCAGCAGCAGCAATCAAGAACTGAACTGCCTGAATTGGACTCAAAATACCAAGTACGGATTTAAGTGTTCTAAGGCGTAGATCATCAGCTTTATGGAGTATCTGTTGCAAGCCTTCCTCTTTAGACTCCAAAGTGGACTCAACTCGCTCCTCCAGTCTACTGCTTTCCTGAGTTGACTCATCATTTCTCATCGACTCAGTTACAAGGTGGGATAATTCAACCATTGATGCATCTGCTACTGTCTGTTGATGCTTCGCCATCTTCTCAGTTAACTCTCTTTCCTGTCTGATAATTCTTCTTTGCAACTCATCAACCTGTTCAAGCTGAGTTGCGGAAAGACTCCCCAAATCGTCCATCCTCAATCCACGAAAGAACTCATCCAACCAGGACTCCATTCGTAACCCAGAGTTTGAGTAGAGCAAGTGAAAAGCCGTGGAAGGTCGCCAGCCACCAATCCAAATGAAAGCATCCTCAAGGGAGCTTCTCCATGAGGGTGAAAACATGGCTAACACATCGTGTTTTGCCCACCATGATTTCGCTTCATAGTAACGCTCGTAATGCTGTTTGATTCGGTTGATGAGTGGTTGCAGAATCCTCTCATCCACATCCCCAGAAGCAAAAGAGAGTGAAGCATTAGGTTCGGCGCTTTCATGGTCTTTGGATGCAGAAATGAGTTCTTGTAGATACTGGTTCTGTTCAACAAGCCAGCATTCAAAGAAGTTGGAGAAGGAATCACGGTTTGATTTGCCATTTCTGCTGGCTAAGGCGAAGTAGTCAGCACTGCTGGGAAGTGTGGACATGGGTATTAGCTACTTGCTATTAATAGTCTTGCCGAAAAATCAGAGAACCCCTTCTAGGGTAGTTTTTATAGGATATTGGGGGGGAAGAGAAAAGATCAACAGTTTCTTTTTATCCTTTTGGGTCTCAGTTGTATCATACTTAAGAAACTTGAATTCTTAATCTTTTAGAAAGAAATAAGGGAGTACATCTATTCCAACTTGAATTCTACTCTGAATCTATCAAGTGTGTGTATATATATATATATATAGAGAGAGAGAGAGAGAGAGAGAGAGGATTGGCGTCAAATATTAGCGTTAGGCATTTGGTCCGGTGTACCTAAAATTATGGACCCAACTTGTGCAATCTTACAAAGGGAGTCAGGATATGCAAGGGGGGTGTTTCAATCAGCCAAAGAGGATAAATAACAAGACAAGTTGATTGCTTTGTCATTCTCAAAGCAGGAAGATCACTAGCAGCCACTGATTTTTTGAAAAGTTCATACCCTCTTCAATTTTGGGAGAAGTTTTAGCTCCCCACAAAATTTGAAGTGAATTAATAAATGGGTTTTCAGAAAGTTTGTAACTTTATTCACTGTCTTACTCCATATTCTTATATGATCCTCACCTTCTTCCTTAATTCTTATGAAGATTGTTCCTTTCCGTTTTTTTGGGAAAAAGTTTATACCCTCTTCAAAATTTGGGGGAAGTTTTAGTTCCCCACAAAATTTGAAGTGAATTAATAAATGAGTTTTCAAAAAGCTCGTAACTTCATTCATTCTGTCTTACTCCTTTCTATTCTTACATGATCCTAACCTTCTTCCTTAATTCCCCATCAAGATTGTTCCTTTTTTTTTTTTTTCTTTTATCTTGTAAACAAGCTAAAATCTTATCTAAAATTTGTCAGTCTAGTGACAAGAAAGAAGAAAAGAAAAGGAGGAGAAAAAGTTTTCCATGGGAAATATGTGGAAAGTAGGGTATTTGGTTATGTGGGAAGTGTGTCTCTTTCCGGTTCTTTGGATATTCAACCTAAACAGATTGGTTGCTCATGTGGGCAGCACCATTTGTTTAATCACCACAACTTGTAGGACAAAGATGTCAGCAGCAGGAGATGAATGGTCAAATTCTCTTTAGCTTTTAATTTTTTTATGTATGAAAAAGACAAATGCTTCTCAAATTTCTCATCACTGCATGTGGATTTTAAGAACAAAAGTACAAAGAGTATGCGTAAGAACATTTATCCAAACACCATTGTTGTTATTATTATTATTTAATAAATGAAACTGATAATAAAACTCAAATTTATCCTCTTAACTTTGATTTTTTTTAAAAAAAAAAAAATTATTACAAGTGAAAAGAAGATACCCACAATCAAGTTAAAGACACTAGGTAATGTTTTTGACTTCATATCATATCTTTTTTCATTAAGAAAAAAAAAAAAAAAAAAAAACCCCGCAAAAAATGAAAAATATTGAAAATTAAGTTATAAAGATTAGAACAAATATGAGATAATTAATTTAATAATTTATATTTAAAACCAAAGAAATTTAGCGGATCAAAGAGTCTTCAACCACTTATAAGTAGCCATTATTGGGCGGAAGTTTTAAATTTGAAGGCCGTGCATGGTTAATGGCTCAGTAACAGCCGCCTTTATCTTCAAAGTTTATATTTTTTTTTAATATCCTTTTGCTTTAAAAATGGGATGCAACTTGGATTTAACATATTATATTATACCTATATTGTATTCTACCTATGTCATTATATATTTCTGAACAAATATATTATATTATGGAAGGGACAAACCCAGAACTTAGATTGTTTGTTTGTCCCCAGTAGCATTTAGAAATAATAATAATATACGAACAAAACATTGCAACATGCTTCTTGTTTGCAACTGCAATTGGCAATACATTATTACTTTTTGCCGATTAAAAAAAAAAGTCCAAATTTTTATAATTTTTAGAATAATATAAATCTCTTCTGTACGTACTTCTTTTTATGTGTGTGTGTGTGTGTGTGAAAGCAAGCTGGTAGGATCAAAACAATGGTGTTTGTCATTCAAAAATTTTCCTTTGAAAGTAACCTGCAGAAGTCAGAAAAGGCTGGTTCTGATTTCTTCATGTATTTATTTCCCTTCTCACTTTTTCTTTCCTTTTTGGACTTCCGAGCCCCTGTTACTTTTTTTAAGCACTAACAGAAGTTCTTTAAGGACGCATGTTATATGAAATTAAAAAATTTAGTAACTAAATTAATGGATAGAATAAAAATTAACTGAAAAAGTAGACCAAGCATTGGGTGTTAACAGGTGACATATGTTTCTCAATAAAAGTTTTTCCCTTTATCTTTTCCCTTTCATTTTAAGACAGAAGTTTATATTTTGTGAAAAAAGAAAAGAAAAAGAGAGAGAGAGAGAAACTATTCGTCTTAAATCCCAAAATCCCAACCCATAAGAAAGTATATTGCTTTGAAATATGAAAAATAAAGATACCTACACTCCGAAAGATCTTCCTCACTTGTATCAACAAAATAAATATCTTTGATCAATACAGAAGAATCCAGCATACAGGAACTTTAGCACCTTAGAATTTCTTCCGAGTCAACCGAACGGGAATCGGGAATCGGATCTATCAATACATTATCTCAAAATTATAAAAGGAGTCATAGAAGATATGAAAAGAAAGATATATCAGTTAATTAAATTCCAGCTTCAGCAGGAACCGAATGGGAGAATCAGATCTATCAATATTTCATCTAAAACTATAAAAGGAGTATTAGAAGATATATTAAAAGAAAATATATTTAAGTCCTGCATGAAGCAGTAAAGAATGATAGGTATGAAAGTTTTTCCACATACCTCCACTCCCACCAATTTACAATAGGAACAACTAGGGTTGTGCACAGGTAGGTTAGAGAATGACCTAGTAAATTCTCTCTGCTGTAGAAACAGGGCGTAAAAAGACCACAATGACGGTAATGTTATCTTTGCTCCCACGTTCTGCTGCTTCTGTTGCCAACCTCTTTGAGCACATTGCAGGCTCCTTGACAGTATCTCTAATTATGCCTATAACCTCTGTATTGCTCAGAACATCCCAGAGACCATCACTTGCCATCACCTTAAAATTAACCAAATCTTTCTTTCAGTCATAAAAACCTGATTCAATTCAACCATGCTATGACCACTCACTAGATGAAGGTAGAATAAAAGACATCAAGAATGACATCCAGTATTGCAAGTTTTGCATTTTAACTTCTTTAACATGTTTGATCATTATATAAGAAAAACACACAGCAAGAAGTCAAAATATGTCATGAGAAGTTGAGAAAATAGAATGCAGAGAACCAGTTAGCTGTAAAAATGCCAAATCCATGCATCCATGCATACATATAAAAACGTTCTAGCCAGAACTAAATTCCTACTCAAGCTGCATTAATATACATTCTTCCCAAACTTTTACTGGAAGCTGCACACACCATATGTCCCAGCTATAACATTATTTTTTTAGCTATTTGCTTGGTTAAGATTTGAGATCAAATTTTGTCCAAAATTCTTCCGTCTCTTTTCCTTTCTCTCAACATGCCACGCCCCTCCTCTCACCCAGGAAGTTCAAACAGAAAAAAGATAAGTCCATGTGTTATTACTTATTTAAAGTACCATTTTTCATCAAAATAATAGTCCTCACCAGGAATTCATCATCGGCTGATAGTATAGTTTCAGTTGTCTCAGGTTCTGCAGTTACAGCTGGCTTCAGATCATCATCGCCAATGGAGCGGGTAACCTGTCAGAGAAAATCAATAAATCAACTTGGTGTGATATTTGAAATAGAAGAAGAATTAACAAAAGAGCATTGAAGTTAGGTTTCATAGCCAGATCTTTGGCACATTCTTGCATTCCTGAAGAAAACCGAGTATAAAAACAACAACGAAGGTCGAGAGAAGCTCAAAGAAGAGAGTAATACTCATTATGCGGAATTTAAAGAGAAATTGGTTTTTTTTAGATTGAGAATGAACATTTACATGGATATATATATATATATATATATATATATATAACTTTTACAAAAAGAAAAAATAAGAAACTAATTACAGTGAATCAAATGTCCATATTAGTGGACTACCTAACTGGTACCCCATAATTTTTTAAGAAAATTAATTTTCTAACAGAATATTGAGAGATTTTCCAACACTATCTAAACAAAGCAACTGTCTAAATGTCAACCAAAACAACCGAAATTATTTCAAAGAAAAGTGTCCTTACCATGTACGAAAAGCTCACACTCTTCTTTTCCTCTAAGTACAGTGTTCACTGGATTGCTATCAGACAAGAGGAAACTAAGTCTACACTTTAACTCATAGCATATTCATTCGCAATATAAAACAATCTTCTCTTTCCGTAGAGCAACTCAATAACTCCGATTTTCTCTACCTTTTATATACAAGCTAGAAAAGCTACCTTATTAATCACACTGAACCATATAACCAAAGTAACTTTCATAGAAAAACAACATCATGATCTGACAGCATCAAGGAAAAGGGAAAGACTAAAACCTGGAGAGCAGCCGGACCAACCCTCCATGTATCAACTTGCCATTTGACTTGTCCACCTGCACTGACTACACGCTCCCTCTCCTCCGGACAGCTTGCAACATGATCCTAAAACAAGTTAAAAGATCAACTCATTTTGGATGAAAATATTTTCATATTTAAGCAACAAAACATCATAAGTATCTAGGAACCTAAAAATACCTTACTTAAAGCAAATGAGCAGCCAGCACGACACAAAATTGCCCTACAATCACCAGCATTAGCAACAAAAAGCTTGTTTCTAACTATTAGAGCAGCAATTGCAGTGCAGCCAGGATGCCAATCTTTCTGAGTAATTCTCTTGGATTGGCGATGGGAATCCAGTTCATTTCTGAATGCAACATCTGTTCTAACAAATGCTTCTGATAGCGCATCAGCAGGACTGTTGATTTGCACATAAAAAGTAGTCTGTTAAAATGTGCAAGTGCACATACCATATACATTAGTATACATACAATTTATTTGTGTGCATTTGCTTGTTAGAGAGAGGACTTAAGGATAAAAAAAATGGCAAATGAAAGACACCTGATAGTGGAAACCAAACTTTGCAGGAGCCCAGGTAAGAGACGAACAGAAAACTCTGCAGCTGCTGCACCTGCTTTAATCCAGCAAAAATTCAATGCATTAAAACGTAACAAAACCAAATAAACAGGACTGGGTGCCTCTGGGAACAAAATGAGGAAGAGTGACCTTTAAACCCCGTAGGAGACTTCACAATATAATAGTAGGGATGATCTTCAACCCGTCAATTCTACTGTGATGCTTTTGTACCATAATTGAACCAAAATAAAAACAGTGAAACATGCATAAAAATTACTTGGACAATTATCTTTTATCTAATCGGTCATGCCTCCAATATTTCCCAAGTGTCTCTAAATGGTTACTCCGACAAACATTAATTTTTCCTATAACTTGCGAAGAAGGCATCTTGTGCCGTTCTTTTGGCTGGAAACTAGTACTACCAGAAAAGGTTTATGACACAGCATCAATCAATTTTAATTGTAACTGGAGTGGAATCTGTTCTTCCTCAAATTTGGTCCCGATAGAGCACCCTTAGTATTGACAATTACTCTTTGCACACCTCTATGGCCATCAAAGATTCCAAATAGATGAATATCCTGTTCATTGCCCATGTAGGGCATGAGGAAGTGAGTATCCTCCATATTTTCCCTTCTCCCACATGTTGCAAAAGATCCACAAGAAAGTACAGGATGGTAAGTCAAAGGATCACTGGAAGGATCAAACCAAAATTTCAGACGAGAATCAGCAGTCAGGGAAGCTTGCTTGGAGAACTCTTCTCCTTGCTTGAACCAAGTAATGGCATTGTGACAGATATGACGATTTTCTATGGAATCCCTCAGCTGGTCACCAAGAGAAATAGAAAGTTGGTGGAGGGCCATATTATCTTCTTCCCCTATCTTTTGGTGTTCCAATACTGTATCCAGTTCTGAAACTATGTCATCAAAAGACGGTCTCTTTCGAGGATCTCCCTCCCAGCATTTCTGTATCAAGGAAAGTAAACTTTCCGGTGCAGATGACTCAAGACCAGCTAGAGCAGGTCGTAATCGAGCAGAAACCACAGCAGCAGTAAGTTGCTGCTCTGTATAGTTCATCTCTAGAACTGTGTGAGCCTGCCAACAGAAATATGTATATCATAGATATATGTAGACATTGCATGCACGCCTATGTGTTTAATTATCCCCATGATATTATCTACAGCAATTAGTTGTAACTTTTTTATAGAAAAAGAAGATCTATTAAGGTAAGAGG